AAAAAAAAAAAAAAAAAAAAAATCTATTTCTATTGCTTCAGAATCTTGGCACAGCTCATTTAGCTTGTTGTGTTAATGAAAAGTGCCCGTTCTATAACCTAATGACAAAGCCAGTCCTTACTATCAAACCAATCAACCAAATCAGACTAACTCGTAAATGATGGTGCAGGCCAGGCACAGTGGCCCATGTCTGTAATCCTTGCACTTTGGGAGGCTAGGTGAGCAGAAAGCTTGAGGCCAGGAGTTCAAGACCAGCCACGGGCAACATGGTGAAACCCTGTCTCTAAAAAGAAAAAAAATACAAAAATTAGAATAACAAAGTTAGCCAGGCATGGTGATATGCACCTGTAGTCCCAGCTACTCAGAAGACTAAAGTAGGAGGATCGCTTGAGCCAGGAAGGTTGAGGCTGCAGTGAGCCGTGATCTGGCCACTGCACTCCAGGCTGAGTGACAGAGTGAGACCCTGTCTCAAAGAAAAAACAGTTTGTCACCTGGAGTAAAAGTTGCTATTTTCTTTTTCTTTTCTCTTCTTTCTTTTTTCTATTTTCTTTTTTAACCAAAGCTCTCTTTATTCATGTCTTAAGAAAGAAAATTGTCCTGAACTTAATCTGGAAGAGAACTTTCAGGGCTGAGGTAGTTTACAGTCTATTCCCCAGGAAATCAGCTATCCTGATATAATGCTCGAATAATCTTTTTCTGGAAAGTTATGGTTTCCCCCCAGCTACCTGGCTGCTGAGACTCTGTAACCCATAGTCCATTGTATCCCTTTTGTCTCCACCAAGAAAGAAGTCTTTGAAGTGATGTGCTCAGAAGCTTCTTTCTTTGTGGAACTTGAAATAAAACCCCCATACATGCTCCTACCTAAGCAATCTGAGAAGGGGTCTCAACTCTCAGGGAGCTCTTCCCTTGAGAGCTGTTAAGTTCCTGAATTATTCTTTTTTTGGTGCGCAGAGGTTTTTACACCTTCTGGGTAGCACCCTCTGCTAACATTTAGGGCGGGTTAGGGATACACCCTTCTTTAGTAAGATAGGAGAAGGGCATTTATTTATTTATTTATTTTAGAGACAGGAGTTTCACTGTGTTGCCCAGACTGGTCTTGAACTCCGGGGCTCAAGCCCTCTACCCACCTCCACCTCCTAAAGTGTTAAGAGTACAGCCGAGGCCAGGCACAGTGGCTCACACCTGTAATCACAGCACTTTGGGAGGCCAAGGCAGGTGGATCACCTGAGGTCAGGAGTTTGAGGCCAGCCTGGCCAACATGGTGAAACCCTGTCTGTACTAAAAATACAAAAATTAGCTGGGCGTGGTGGCGGGCACCTGTAATCCCAGCTACTCGGGAGGCTGAGGCAGGAGAATCACTTGAACCTGGGAGGCGAAGGTTGTAGTGAGTTGAGATCACACCACTGCACTCCAGGCTGGGCAACAAAGTGGGACTCTGTCTCAAAAATAAATAAATACATAAAAAGAGTGCAGCCATGAGCCACCCCATCCGGCCAAGAAGTGCATTTATGAAAGAGGAGAGAGGCAAGAGGAACCAAGTGTGATCTCTTATTATTATTAAAGTTTTTTCTTTTTTAGAGGCAAGGTCTCACTATATTGCCGAGGCTGGTCTCAAACTCCTGGGCTCAAGGGATCCTCCCGCCTTGGCCTCCCCAAGGGCTGGGATTACAGGCATAAGCCTCTGCGCCCGGCCCAAGTGTGACCTCTTAAGCTAAGGAGCATTTGCAGGCAGATCATTTCCGGAAAGAGTATATATAGAAGTTGAGCTTTGGAACCCAGTTTCCTTAAAACTCAGTACCCTGGAATGCTCTTGTAAACCTCAAGCAGTAAATGTTTCCCAGTTTGATGGCCCTAAACTAGATGACTCCTATATGTTTGGGGCAGAAGCTTATATAAATGACCTAGAGCGTAAGAGATCATGTCAAGCGATTATTCTGAAGGCTATGAGATGGAGGCTGTGGGGCAGCATCCTACTACATCTTTTCTCATTTCCCCAAAGTCTGCTCCTCTCAGTTCCGGAGAGATCATGTGGTACCCATTAAAAATAGTCACAGCCAGGCGCGGTGGCTCACGCCTCTAATCCCAGCACTTGGGGAGGCCGAGGTGGGCGGATCACCTGAGGTCAGGAGTTCAAGACCAGCCTGGTCAACATGGTAAAACCCTGTATCTACTAAGAAAATACAAAAATTAGCTGGGCATGGTGGCAGGCGCCTGTAATCCCAGCTACTTGGGAGGCTGAGGCAGAGAATTGCTTGAACCCAGCAGGCAGAAGGTTGCGGTGAGCTGAGATCGCGCCACTACACTCCAGCCTGGGCGACAAGAGCAAAATTACATCTCAAAAAAGAAAAGTCTCTAGAAGCCAGGTGTGGTGGCTCACGCCTCTAATCCCAGCACTTTGGGAGGCAGAGGTGGGTAGATCACCTGAGGTCAGGAGTTTAAGACCAGCCTGATCAACATGGTGAAGCCCCATCTTTACTAAAAAAAATACAAAAACTAGCTGGGCGTGGCGGCAGGTGCCTGAATCCCAGCTACTTGGGAGGCTGAGGCAGAGAAGTGCTTGAACCTGGGAGGTGGAAGTTGCAGTGAGCTGAGATTGCACCACTGCACCCCAGCCTGGGCCACAGAGCGAAACTCTCTCTCAAAAAAATTTTACAAAAGGTCTCTAGAGGCCGGACATG